ATGAGGAGTAGGAAAGCCGAAGGTCGGCGTGTGATAGGCGGCCGAATTCTATGGGGCGTGAGTTGGAATTGTTTGGAGTGCAAGCCAAGCAAGATCAAGATCTAGTCAATTAGGACTAGTATTTTTAGTTTCCTTCTTGCACAATAATATCTAGATTGTTTAGGAATTTAATATTTTATTGCTTTAATATGTTTCCTAGGTAGATTAGAATTAGTCATAGTTAGGATCTATAAATAGGGATCATCCCTCATTGTTTTGAAAGGTCTTGGAATTGATGAAATAGAAAAGGAACGTTTGTTCGAAACCGTGTGTTAGGATTCGTGAGAATTCGATCATGCAACCGAATTGTCGAGGCTAAGACCCAAGCCATTTCAGCGATTTAGAGAGGCTAAGACCCGATCTATTTCGAGAGTGTAGCGAGGCTAATACCTGAGTGAACTCAAGTATCGTGAGAGTGTTAGGCTAATAACCGAGTCGATCACACCTATCGTCAAGAGCAAGGCCGTGGCGAAGCCGTGATCGAAACAAGTCGAGGGAACGCAACACCCGATCCATCATCATTGGTGCTTTCATTGAGAGTGATCGATTGGGTGTTCGTGAACTTTTTCTATCCCATTCTTTTTATTTTTTGTTCGATTTTTTCGAGTCTTTCGTTCGAATTTTTCGAATTTTTATCCTTAATTTTCGAAAAATTTCGTGAGTATTAAAAAAAAAAAGTGTCATCTAGTCCTTTTATTTGATTTTTTTCGGTTATTACCTTTTGTTGAGGGGCCGAATTTCTTTTCTTTTTGGGTCGAAATTTTCGAAATTCTTGTTTGAATTTTTCATTTATTTTTCGATTTTTTTTAGAGTCTTAAAAAAAAAAGAATCATGACGAATCGTGAGAGATTCGATGCACTTGAGGAAAGCGTAAGGTCCCTTGGCAACGGACAACACGTGGTCAATGAAAACATGACAAAGTTGGAGCTGATGATACATGACTTGGCGGGACAGCTGGAGAGAGTCAACCACCATACGCGGAGGAGCCGCACATCGAGATCAACCATGGCGGGAATGGGCAGTTCGACGTCTAGTCGCGATGATGACGACGAACGGTCGCGGGGAACGTGCGCGACGCGCACTACCCGACACCACTGCGATCGCAGGATGCATGGCCATCGGCATCATCGCGAGGAGCACGTACGTGCGAAACCGAAGATAACGATGCCAACGTTCGAAGGAGTAGATCCGGATGCATGGTTAAGTCGTGCCATGCAATTTTTCGAGATCAATGAGGTACACAAATCTGAAAGAGTTCAAATTGCTGCCTACTACTTGGATGGGGAGGCTAACACATGGTGGCAATGGGTGTCACATGTTTATAAAAATAAAGGCGAGCAAATCAGATGGCGAGATTTTGAGAAGGAGCTGATTGCCAGGTTTGGATCTAGCGAATACTTTGATTATGATGAGGTGCTGACAAGGATCCGCCAAACCGGTAGTCTATGCGATTACCAAAAGGAGTTTGAGAGGATAGCAAGCCGAGTTCGGGATTGGCCCGAGAAAGCACTTGTAGGTGCGTTTGTAGGAGGCTTAAAGGCTGAATTGGCTGTAGAGGTACGATTGGACAGGCCAAGGTCAACAAGGGCTGCCATGGAAGCGGCGCGACTGCACGAGGATCATCTCGTGGCAGTGCGCAGGGCCAGACCGAGCGAGGGGCGCACGGACGTTCGGCGCGCGAGCGTCGTGGTCAACGATACGCCCCCACGGGCCGAGGTCAAGCCAACAGTCGGCGATGGTACACGCACCACTAGCAACTACCGACGGCTGACGGAGGATGAGATACAAAGGCGAAGGGAGAAAGGCTTGTGCTTTACTTGCAACGAGAAATTTGCGCCAGGCTACAAGTGCAAGGGTAAGGAAATTTTTGTGTTGGAAAGTGAGGAGGAACGAGAGGAAGAAAAGCCGCAGGAAGATTCTTGGTTGCATATGGTGAAGTGCAACAAGCGTGGTCCTAGGATGATCAGATTCACGGTCGAGATAAAGGATATGTTGTTGGAGGTCCTGGTGGACAGTGGGTCGAGTTTAAATTTTATCGACGAAAAGATAGCCCAAAAGCTGAAGTTAGTACCCACAAAAGTCAAGAAGTTTGGTGTCAAGGTGGCCAATGTACATGAGCTGCAGGGAAGTCAATTATTCAAGAAGGTCCCGATAATGGCACAGGATCACGAGCTGGAGATTGACCTTTATGCCTTACCACTTAAGGCAACAAATATT